TTTTTTTTTTTTTTTTAAATGAAGGAATAAAACATTATAGTTATGTACAAGTGGAAAAGAAACGCCCATGGCTTCAGCAACTTGCACACATTTCAGCCCTGAGCTATGCTTATGACCCTTTTGCATATCATCTTACTCCATTTCACATGAAACAAACACATAGGCATCACCGATACAGGGTTTTTTTTGTGTTTACCTTTGCTTCCATTTGGAGAGTGAGAGCTTAAATTAGATCTACTGCACAAAGAGCACAGCACTGTGCAGTGTGACGCAGCTATAGAGTACTATGCTGCAAATAGTAAATGCAATTTATAATTGCATTTATAAATTCATTTTCCTCCAGTTCCTTACTGATCACACTGCCTAACAAAATACTTGCACATTTTACCTGTCAGTCCAAATTAGAAACAGGTAAAAGTCCTTTTTTATTGGAGTAACGTATATTCTTGGCAAAACTAGGCTGACCGCATGAAACTATAAGCTACAATGTATCTTCATAATAATACGAACATACTCAGTCTATTCAAGCTAATTATGAAAAAATGTTATTTAATACCAAACCTTGGAAATTTATATGAAGAGAAAATTACTGTTTTCAAATGCACATTAATATCTCTTCTTGCCATTTCCACCTCCTTTTTCGTGATGATCTCCACCATATCAGAAACCCCCTGCACACAGAAGTTCCCAAAATTAAGTCTGAGATGCTGTGTTGCTCCTCTGTAGATGCCCAATGCAAAGCTCACCACCGGGGAAGATGGATGGCCTAAGCAGCAAATGGCCTTAAGCTACCAACATTTCCTGCCAGACCTGGGCTGGCTCAGAGGCTGAAAGGTCCATTAGCATAATTTGGCAGCCCTTGGGGCCCTCTAAACAGCAACACTCTCTCTGGGCTGCAGGCACTTTACCCCTCTCCGGCGGTCCTCCCCTCTGCCTCCAGCCTGGCCTTTCCCTCCTGGACCATGCAGAAGGCACCGTATTGCAGTGACATCCAGAGCCGTTCCCCCACTATCTCATTCACGGCAGTGATGGAAGGACCTTTTAATGCCATTTTAGCTCCTTTATGTGGCATAAAGGGATCAAATCAGGAATAAGAATTTCACCTTAGTTTCTCTACGTGAAGAAAATCACCAAAACAGCCAAACCACAAAGCTCAACCGCACACACTGTAGAGGCAGACTCGGCCTTCTAGGTCATTAAATGCAGATCACTAATTACAATTTCCAGCAGACTACCAAGCTCCAACACAAGGGATGATTTTTCAAGGAATTCCTCATTTACAGCATTCCAGCCGATATTAAAAAAAAAAGCAACCCCCTCAAGTAAAGTTTACCCCCTCCCTTGTTTTTTTGCAGACGCTGCTGTGTGAACGCCTCCTCTGAAACACACCAGGAAACAGCAGTGATGAACTCATGACATTGCAGACAAAGTGTCACATGTTGCTGTTTCAAAAGGTTATCAGGTCAGATGGCAGCCCTGTATTTTGCTAGAGTGCGAAGCACACACGCCTGTTCAGGAAGACAGGATTGCAGGAGCTCTGCTGGCGCTGCGCAGGACGCGGCAACGGAGGATGTCCTGCACCAGCTGCTGGTGGGCTGCAGCAAAATTTCCAGCACTCGAGGGAGCTGGGCTTCCTGCTCCACAAACATTTTCAGCACCTTTTTTTGGGAAGAAGGAGCTACTACCATGGAACTGCCGTTTCATCAAACAAAGGTGCCGTTCTGCGTCCCTTGCTAGATTCAATAGCGCAGATCAAAATCAAGGGAAAGCTGTCAGCCCCCAGCATGCCGCAATCTGGCCCCGTTTTCCTTTGGGAAGCAGAAACAAGGGGCCTAGGGGGCAACGCAGCATCTCAAAATTGGAAAAGGGGTTGAAAGAGGTCTTAACAGGGCTACTCTCCCCAAAAAAGTAAGGAGCGGCTTGCTTGAGTATTTCTGCCAGGAGACAAGACAGAAAAAGAAGTCTGGGAGGTAGAAAAAGGTACCAGGCAGCAGGCAGGAACCAGGATTTTGCATATAACCTATGAAAGACAAGCAGCTAAATCTGTCTGTAGAACTAAACTAAGCTACGAGGAGAACAGGTCCAGGAGGATAAAAAGCAAATTGCAAGACAGGAAAAGATTTGGAGGAATTAATGTGACCATGTTATAATTTTCTGGAACAGTGAAATCGCTCTAAGGGAAGGGTAACTCTGTGCATCAGGGAAAGGACCTGCAGCAGTATCCAAAGCCCTGTTCACAGACAACATAATAAACCTAAGAGTGGTGGGAAAAAGTGATTTGTAATACAAGCTGCTCAGGTGATGACTTGAAACAAGAAGCCCACTGAAGCACAGCCAGAATTGTGTAGACATTGCAACTGAAGAATTAAAACAATGGAAAAAAACTATTATAAGTTTTGCTATCATGCTGTTTTCAAAATACTTTTGATAATTACTAAGAAAAGGTGTTGCCTTTTTGTTGTTGGTATATGAACAACGGAGTAACATCATCAAAATTATTGCATATCCAGTCACAGAAATAAATCAATCTAAATGTTGAATAAGCAACAAGAAAAGTTGAGAGGTTTCACTATGTGTGAATTTGCCTTCATGATGGTGTAAAATGTTTTTCAGTATTCAAGAGAATGCTCGTTACCAAAAAAAAGCACGCAATACTTGAAACCTTAACACTTTTAGCTATATGAGATTCCAGTAAAATTACTGTCATCATAAAACACCCACTTTTCTTTTTTCTGAGCCATAAAATACGTATCTCCAAAACCTGATTTAGAATGACAATAGAGTTTATTAGCTATTAAGCACTTCTTCAGGATAATTCCACCTTATACTTTTGAGATTATGCAGCTGCCAGAACTATAAAAAGGCTGCACATTTCCAATGTTTTTGCCTATCAAATTAAGAGACCAAACTACTAATATTCTGCTTACCTCCTAAATTCATTCCAGCTTGCAGACATTTCTGTAATCGACAGGCTGGGCAGTTCTTCCTCCGAATCTTATCAATTATGCAGTCATTCCTTCCCGCACACAGGTAATTGTGCTGTCCTGAACGAACCAAAACCAAAACACATTATTAGAGGATGTATTTACATATTTCCAATTTGTTCTTCTCTGTTGTTTTGCAGTCATTTTGAGCTTCTTATTAACGCAGACATTCCCAATCCCATTCTTTAAACTTCCCAATAATCTTGGTGACTTGTCATGGGCCTCACTATGAGCATCTCTTCTGTTCGGTTTGGGAAAGAGTTTTGGTGTGTCACTCACAAGAGAGACCTCATTACTTTTTTCTAAGCAGGACTGGAATTTTTCTTTTTGCTAAAAACAGACAATTGGTTTGAGCTTTTTCAAATCTTCTTACATGTGCCGTATCACAGAGCAGCCTGACAACTCTTAGCTTTGGTAAAAAAACGGGGAAAATTCTCATGCTAAAGAAGTTCACAATATAAAGCAGAAATGCAAAGTAGAGGTTAACTTTCCCAATATACTCCACTCTCTTCAACCAGTTCACTTAGTGCTTGATTTCTGATTTTATCAGTTACCTTCTATACAGCAGAAGGTTTCTGAAGGGTTTACCAAGGCAGGATTAAATCACAACCGTATTATTTCAGTTCTGTAAAGCCCCACAGAAGCACTCCTGAGGAGACAGCAGGTATTTAACAGACAACATTTAGCAGAAGGGAAATATATGGCAACCAGGGAAATAGGCTGGCATTTAACAACTTGGAGACTCAAAAGGCTTTTTGCTTCATGGGAGGAACACAGGTAGAGCAAACGGATGCAGTGTATCAGACGAGGGCACTACCACGTGGACTTTTCAAAGTAAGGTGCTTGAATTTGATGTGGAAGAATAAAGGAAGCCACGAGGGGTTGGTGCAGCGTGACAGGAGAAGCGAGAGGAGATGATTATTTTAGCTGCCTCAATCCAGAGGTGGCACACGGGGATCTGGGGCGGCCAGAACAAATGGTTTGCAGCAGATGCGACAAAAAGCAATGCAGAGGGTTTCCAGAGGAAGGATGAAAGGAGAGGACACAGCACACAGAAGTACAACAGACTGTAAAGCAAGCTGCAGGATTTGCCAGCATGCGAAGTTCAAGAAAACAGTCCTGTGTAAAATACAACAGCGTGTTGCAGGCTTACGTAGCAGGCGCTGTAAGAACTACAGAGTGTCAGGGACAAGCATTTTAGGCATAAGGTAAGAAACAGTTTACTCCATAAACTAAACACAAGTTTGTAACAAAGATGTCTGAAATGCAAGGTAGAGGAAAAAAAAAAAAATTTGGATTGCAAATGCAATAACACCAACCAGCAACTAAAAAGAGACTCCTAAGCAGGTCATGAATGAAGCAGGCAAGATGTGCAGAAACCCAAGAGTTGTACAAATAACGTTAAAGTTGACGCCAATGACCAAAGCGAGCACCAGCCGTGGGTGGGGAGGGGAAGCCCGGGCAGGGCTCAGAAGCAGAGCTGCACTGAGACGCGCAGGAGGCCGACGCGTGCGGGGAGCGGAAGCAAAGATGTAGGCTCGATAAGGGGACAGAGCTGCTGTAGGACAAGAGGTATAAAACATGTTTGCCAAGATATTTTCCATAATACACACATGCTTCCTTGGGGAAAGACAAAGAGAATATTCATGGGACACAGGAGACCTGGCTTCTGTTTTGGGCTCTTTCAGGAATTTGCCTTAAAACTTCAGATAAGTCATTTTCTATCTCTGCATCTGACTTCCCTTCACCCTTACCCAATGTTATCTATTTAGACAGTGAACTGAAGTTTGGGCTGTTTCTTGCATCTCTTCACTGAGCATCTCACACAAAGAGAAACCAATCTTATTTGCGTAAGCGAAGTGTTACTGTAATATCACAAAGGTATCACCATTTAGATAATGCTTTAGATGTTTAAACAACAAGCAGATAGGCAAATAAGAGTTTTTATTAAGGTACCTCACCTAGCACTGCGACACAGATAAAAACCAATAAAACTCAGGCAAAATAATTCATTAATATGAGCTCATGAAGTTACGTCAGGCATAAAATCAAGTTGTACAATATAGTCACGGCACCAGTATCTATCAGCTGCTTTAAGTAGGAGCTCATGAAGTTACGTCAGGCATAAAATCAAGTTGTACAATATAGTCACGGCACCAGTATCTATCAGCTGGTCTTTAAGTAGGCCTGCTAAACAATAAAAAGATAAAATTCTCAGCTAATCACAAAATGAAAACCTGCTTATCACACAATGTTTATTTTATGATGTGATCTATACAAAACCAGATACACAAGAGAAAAGTCAACTTAATCCCTATTTACATTTTTGCTCTGTACTGACTTGAGCACATCTCCTAAAGAAATATCACGTAGACAGCATGGAAGTAAAGTAGAAAACAAAGGTATTTAAAGTAACGATATACAGTATAAAGATGGTTTATATGCCCTTACAAATACTGGTATACTATCTTTTGTGGGGAAAAGGGAAAAATGGTTATTTTCTGCTAGGAATGCAAGTACGATTGCTCAGTGCTCATACAATGTCCTTTGTACATCACAGAGCACTGCAATACCATTTTTAGGCTTCCACAGGCAGTGCAGGCTATTAATATGATAAGTCAACTCTAATGCTGCAAAACGAACCCCATTGCAGAATTACCCTGAAGGCAGTTTGCCCTACAAAATGGTACACCTGTTAAATCAACATTTTTCACTACTGCTTTCAAAAGCTAATGGGTTTAATAAAAAGAGGTTAACATTTATGTACTCCAGGATAATTACTTGAGTCACATTCTTAAGTATTGTGGAAATATTTATTTGATTCAATCACTGTCACACTATGACTTCATAAGAAATATTCCCACAATAGCAGAATACTTCTGTAAGTCACCCTTCAAATGGTTTAGGTAGCCTGCAGTTATTACTTTCTGGCCTATCTACTCTAGACCAAATAATTTCAGAAAACATAACTTAGCAAAGGTTCATCAATTTTTGAATCATGCATATCTGAATACAAATGTATGGTACAAAATCTGTAAGTAGTTTTTCTAGTAAGCAAGGCAAAAGTGTTTCCAAAAAGCAAATGCCTTCTAGTCAATTTTTTTAATTTCTAAAAAAAAATAAAATAATTAAATAACCACAATCATCTTAAAGCTTACATTAATGGAAGTAACTTGAAAACCCTTAAAAAACAGAACAGATCAGCATTCAGGCAAACCCTCTATGTAGAGTACAGCTATGAAATAATAATGAACAGTTTTTCAGTTTAAAAGTTTGTCACCTATAATGAAAACAACGGCTGCAGATTTCCATGCAGTCAAATATGGTACGTTTCAAATAAAACCAATTTTGTAAAATAAGTTAGTAAAGCAAAGACACTCATAATGAATCAGTATCTTCCATTTGTGTAGCATGAGCCTCACTTATGCCCCTCAACTGAAACAAAAACCTACACATCTGAAATTGACACAGCTCTCTGAAGACCTCCAGGGCTCTTCAGGTTCTCAGTGAGGTGATGGAGACCATCCTGCAAAGAGGTTGATGTTTTTGTGGCGCTAGATCTCTAACTCTTTCTAGACATGGATCGATCTGCTTGTATAATTTGTGTTTAGCTTAATCCAGTTGTTCTTTTTATCCAGTTTAATCACCCACAAGCGGGCTGGAAAGTGACAGAGTAGATATCGAATTCTCATCTCCCATGTGCCAAATGCATTAAGATGAAAGTAATTTTTACATATGCCACCATTAAGTGCACTTATACGAGCTAATTCCTGTTCCATCTAAAATACGGACTTACAAAAGATGCCAGGAAAATTTCCTGTTCAAAATAAATAATTAATAGGTACCACACAGTTACACACTAAGAAAAAATAGAGATCTGTCGTATTCACAGTAGAGCTAGAGGCATATTTGAGTTTGCACTCTCCAGGTTATTGTGTCACTACATACCCCAGAATGACACATCCAAATGTACGTACAAAAATATTTTAATGTTTCCAACTCTCTCACCTACAAAGACTCTTTAATTCCCTGCTTTGATAAGCTTACAAAAGAAAACAAAAAGGAAGTATTCATGAAATTCAGTTTTCCCCCTTACATTTTCTCGGACAAGCAAAATTCAGCAGTAAAGGAGGGGAGGAAAAAAGCTGTTCTTATTTGGCCTATGAATTACTGCCAAAATGAGGCTGCAGCACAAGTTGTGCCTTTCCCCATTTTAAAACTCCAGCACAATGATTGAGCCACTGGTCCCAAAAACTGACTCGCTAAGATGAGCTCATGTACGTGTGCAGAGCGCTGCTGCACTCTTCATGGGGCTGCAATACTTCCAGACATGTAAGGCTGCAATAGGAATGGGGTATAGATATTTCTTGTCAGCAATATTTCTGTTACTGTCTAAGGCAAAATTAGAAAATTACAGAAATTTCTGAAATATTCCACATGTTTTATCTTCCTCCTAAAAATTATTTTTTTCCCCCAGTTTTTTGAAGTCTAAGTCAGGAACTGCAAATCATTAATGAGTCTTCTACATTTCTGCTCTCTTGTTAAAATAGCAACTACTATGATAAAATGTTAAATTTTGTAAGGAAAAAAAAAAGGCGTAGTGCTGGAAGAGGATCCAAAGACTGTTTAATTCAAGCCCACTCATGGAAGCATGATAAGACTAGCTTAACAGTTCAGGCAGGGTTTTTTTTTCCTTTCTCTAAATTTGTCTTAAAACCTTCTGAGGAAAGGTATTCTGCAAGTTCCCTACAAGCCACGCGATCAGGCTAGTGATTAGCTAGCCTTGAAGCTGTGTTTTATCCCTTTGCATTTAACCCAAATGGGAATATTTTGCAACTGAAAGAGATATTAGCACTCCCCCTAAGACATACAGAGTAATAGATTGCCACCTTCTTACAACAATCTCACGCCTATCGAAAGATTTATGTTCTCCATCTCTTTGCTAGACTAAACAAATCCAGTTCTCTCAATCTTTCCTCATAGGTCATGTTTCCTAAATCTGCTGTCATTCCTCTTATTCTCCTCCAGCTTCTTTCATAAAACAGTGTGCCCAAAACCGG